TGGTTTGTAGCTCCAGAAAAAACTAAAAAGCTTTACAAATTCTTTGTACAACAATCAACTCACCTCACCGACACGATGACGTTCCTTTAGCATGACAGCGATCTCTGTAAATTTACATAGGAATTGCCGTTCAAATGTTGTCAAACAACCGTGGATAGATCTTCACGAGAACGTCACGTGCCTCACGTATTAAAACTGCACGTGTTGTTTGAGTAAAGACGGGATAAATGCATGCAAGATGCCTGTCAATCAGAGCAGCAATATGAGACTCCTGGAAGACAAGAGGAATGACGATGTTGATCGTTAAAGGAGAAGGAAAACAAATTGTAACAGGGCAGATTTTGAGGTCTTAAGACAACAAAGTTAAAGTATTATTAGAAAAAAAAAAAAATAGAAACAAGTTAATAGTTTTATACAAGTACGTACCATTTGTTTAGAATCTACTAATTGTTCTACATGTTTTTCATCATCATCCATATTATCGTGGTCATGCTCTTGTTGTTTTTGTTGTTGGGCCATTGACTTTAAATGTTTCTTTTCCTGTCGTGTTTCAATTTGAACAGAATTTCCAACAACATTTATGTTTGTTGAAGTATTACGACTGCGAGCTTGTTTTGTAATTTTCTTTGTTGTTCCTGCTGCTGTTTTAGTTAATGCAGAACCTAGACCAAAATCAATATCTTCATACGATTCATCAACAACGTCATCATCATCGTCGTCGTCATCGTCGTCGTCATCGTCAACATTATTTTCGTCTTCCATTTTCATCACATTCCCAAGGGCACAATTAGTGGAACTACCTTTGTTGACGGACTCACTAGCACCACCCAATGAAGACAATCTATTGTTTGGAAAATCCGTTTACTTTAGCTGATGTTGTTTCTGTTTTTGGCCCCAAGTCTTGACTGACATCTAGCTCATTTATTGTAGACATGTTGATTTTGGATCATGACCTGTATTATTGTGATATTCTTGCATTTGATTATGCAAACCACTACTGCCAACCAGCGATCTTTACATTTTTTTCAAATAATTACGTACACGCGATGATTTACTACCACCGCCAACACTACGACGCACCGCCATTTCATTGATCACTTGGTAGTGTTGCTCATACTCTTCTCCTACAGATTTTGGTATCATTTCGTTGTTGCGCTTATGTTGCTCCTCAAACGTTGTTTCTTCGATTTCTTCTTCGGATCTTCTTCACGTGCAATTGGTGCTGTTTGATTAGTTGGTATTGTTGTGTTGTCGTTGGTTTTGTTGTTGACATGACTTCATTGTTGTTATGAATTGTTGCTAAATTTTTAGAATTATTTACAGATACAGATATGCTTGTCGTAGGTGTATGATTGACTACTAATATTTCGTTTAAATCTCGTAGATTTTCTTCGTTTTCGTTGTATGTTTTCGATACTTTGGCTGGGGTATGTTCTACGTTTGTTGGAGGATTGGTGTTATTCTGTAAAGGTAAGTATAGAAAGTAGTTAGTTATTAAAAACTATTATGCTATGTTGTAATAAGTGATGAATAAATAAGTAGAACTGAACTAGAACTGAACTAGAACTGAACTAGAACTGAACTAGAACTGAACTAGAACTGAACAAGAACTGAACTAGAACTGAACTAGAACTGAACTAGAACTGAACTAGAACTGAACTAGAACTGAACTAGAACTGAACTAGAACTGAACTAGAACTGAACTAGAACTGAACTAGAACTGAACTAGAACTGAACTAGAACTGAACTAGAACTGAACTAGAACTGAACTAGAACTGAACTAGAACTGAACTAGAACTGAACTAGAACTGAACTAGAACTGAACTAGAACTGAACTGAACTAGAACTGAACTAGAACTGAACTGAACTAGAACTGAACTAGAACTGAACTAGAACTAGAACTGAACTAGAACTGAACTAAACTGAACTAGAACTGAACTAGAACTGAACTAGAACTGAACTAGAACTGAACTAGAACTGAACTAGAACTGAACTAGAACTGAACTAGAACTGAACTAGAACTGAACTAGAACTGAACTAGAACTGAACTAGAACTGAACTAGAACTGAACTAGAACTGAACTAGAACTGAACTAGAACTGAACTAGAACTGAACTAGAACTGAACTAGAACTGAACTAGAACTGAACTAGAACTGAACTAGAACTGAACTAGAACTGAACTAGAACTGAACTACTAGAACTGAACTAGAACTGAACTAGAACTAGAACTGAACTAGAAATGAACTAGAACTGAACTAGACTGAACTAGAACTGAACTAGAACTGAACTAGAACTGACTAGAACTGAACTAGAACTGAACTAGAACTGAACGAAACTGAACTAGAACTGACTAGAACTGAACTAGAACTGAACTAGAACTGAACTAGAACTGAACTAGAACTGAACTAGAAACTGAACTAGAACTGAACCTGAACTGAACTGAACTGAACTAGAACTGAACTAGAACTGAACTAGAACTGAACTAGAACTGAACTAGAACTGAACTAGAACTGAACTAGAACTGAACTTAGAACTGAACTAGAACTGAACTAGAACTGAACTAGAACTGAAACTAGAACGAACTAGAACTGAACTAGAACTGAACTAGAACTGAACTAGACTGAACTAGAACTGAACCTAGAACTGAACTAGAACTGAACTAAACTGAACTAACTGAACTAGAACTGAACTAGAACTGAACTAGAACTGAACTAGAACTGAACTAGAACTGAACTAGAACTGAACTAGAACTGAACTAGAACTGAACTAGAACTGAACTAGAACTGAACTGGAACTGAACTAGAACTGAACTAGAACTGAACTAGAACTGAACTAGAACTGAACTAGAACTGAACTAGAACTGAACTAGAACTGAACTAGAACTGAACTAGAACTGAACTAGAACTGAACTAGAACTGAACTAGAACTGAACTAGAACTGAACTAGAACTGAACTAGAACTGAACTAGAACTGAACTAGAACTGAACTAGAACTGAACTAGAACTGAACTAGAACTGAACTAGAACTGAACTAGAACTGAACTAGAACTGAACTAGAACTGAACTAGAACTGAACTAGAACTGAACTAGAACTGAACTAGAACTGAACTAGAACTGAACTAGAACTAAACTAGAACTGAATTAGAACTGAACTAGAACTGAACTAGAACTGAACTAGAACTGAACTAGAACTGAACTAGAACTGAACTAGAACTACTGAACTAGAACTTTACTAGAACTGAACTAGAACTGAACTTGAACTGAACTAGAACTGTATTCGAACTGAACTAGAACTGAACTACAACTGAATTGGCGTAACGAAATGCTAGAATCGTTCATATGTTTCGCAATGAAATTCACTGTTTTAAATATTCTAATTATACCCTACACCACTTTAGTGGGGAGGGTATATTGGATTTGTGCTGATGTTTGTAACATATAAAAATATTCGTCCTAGACCCACCTTAAAGTATACCAATCGGCTTAGAATCGTTTTCTGAGTCGATTAAGCTATGTCCGTCCGTCCGTCTGGCTGGCTGGCTGGCTGGCTGGCTGGCTGGCTGTCCATGTAAACCTTGTGCGCAAGGTACAGGTCGCAATTTTCAAGATAATTGGATGAAATTTGGCACGCACGTTTTATTTGGCCCAAGGACGAAGCCTATTGAAAATGGTTAAAATCGGTCCATTATTTCACCTAGCCCCCATAGAACAGAACCACCCGAAAAGGGCTTCTGAGCTCATAATTATGTTAAATATACAGATATATCGATAAAATACGGCACAACTAAGTTTTATGGAAGTCTTGATAACCCTTCCAAATTTCATAAAGATCGGCCCCCATTTGACCCTAGCTCCCATACAAAGTCCCCTTCAGAAAATTACTTCAATGTCCCAAATTAACTTATAAACACAAATATCGCGATGAAATTCAGCACAATAAAATATTATGTAAATATAAATATATTCACAAAATTTTATCGGGCTTGGTCCATATTTGCCCCTAGCCCCCATATAAAGCCTCTTTCAGAAAATTAGTTTTTCATCCATAAATTGCTTAAATGTATCGGAACAAGGGAATATTGAAGATAAATGCGATATTATGAAAAATAAATCACATTTAATATTCATAACTGGTGTAGGGTATCATATGGTCGGCCACGCCCGACTATACTTTCTTACTTGTTTTTTATTACGTTTACATACATATGTTTTTAAATTATAGTATTTATATTATTCTAAATTTTTTTGAAGCAATTTCTACCACAACATGTTAAACAACAATAGACTACTTTAAATTATTTAAAATTATTCTAAAATGCTTTGTAGTTTTACCTACAAAATGTGCAAATACATACATATTTTAGTATGTATTTCATATGTATGTACATATTTTCCAGTATAAAGAAAATTTTAAATTGAGGACATTTATTGATCGTCTTATAATTTGCTAGACACATGAAAATAAAGCAAAAAATACACAAAAAGCTAATATACCAAACAATATTTGTAGAAAAATGTTGTAAAAAGAACAAGTGTTTTTTAGCCAACACCACATGTCGTTATGTAGAACAAATATCGAAGGAAAACTCCAACAGACAATGTAAGGCCCAAGCCTAAAAATAAACTAACAACAAGACAACATAACACCAACACCTCAAATGATGTCATGTCCGAGGAGAGGGTGGTACAAAAATTTAATTCAATATTATATGTAGCATATGTGTGCAACACATTTGTTGCATGTACAAATAATTGACAGCCATAAAAATAACACAACGAAAAAAAGGGCAACAAAACTTTATATGAGTTCATATAAACAATGTAAGAATATTTATACAAATTTACGTCCAAGTATATGCTAATAAAACGTCATATTGATTTTTTTTTTCTTTTTGATGCCGGAATTTTATAATTGACGTAGGTCAAGAGTATTTGTCTCGAAACTAATGTAATACACTTCACTTTCAGGTTTATTTGGAACATTACACAAGGGAAATATTCAATTCAATTATATATTTATGTAGCATATTACTTTTATTATAGTTTATGTGAGGCCATAGTTAAGTTTCTTTAATTACTTTTTAGTTTCCTTTAATATTATTTAAGTGTCACTGCGACAAAACAGAAACTTTTTGAAAACTATTTTTATAACACTATTATTAAACTGTTTTATTTTTAATACACACTTCTGCTGGTGGCACTAATTTAGACAATAAATTATTTTAACTTGTTTGTTGTTTGTTCTTGCTAATAGTTAGACATTTCCTAGGAAATGCTCTAAGTTTTTATCACTATTCTCAAAAGCTTTTGAGAATAGTGATGAGAGTTTTTAATAAAGTTAAGAAATATTTTAAACAAAAGATGGCGCCTACAGATCTAATATGGTCATGCGCAAAGTTAAATGTTTAATTTCAGAATTTTTCCAAATATTTTAAAACACTACTACACATTTTGGAGTTTTCTTTAGTCTTAGTGTCTATTTCTTTGTAAAAAGCTTTCACGAAAAATCGAAAAGTTATCTTTTCTGTTCAAAAAAAAAGCATTAGTTTTTCTGGATCATTTAGAATTTCATGAAGACCCAGAAAATATAAACTCTGTTTTCGATGGCTCAAAAAAGTATTTACGATTTTTATACCCTCCACCACCATCAGTGGTGATAGAGGGTATATATAAGTTTGTCGTTCCGTGTGTAACACCAAGAAATATTCATCTAAGACCCAACAAAGTATATATATTCTGGGTCCTTATCAAATTCTGAGTCGATTTAGCTATGTCCGTCTGTCCGTCTGTCTGTCTGTCTGCCTAAAACACGCTCACGTTAAAACTAAGCAAAGGAAATCAACCAAATTCACCCAA